TTTTAAAAAAACATATTTCTTGGCAACCTGCCCCTTCTTGCCATTGCTGGAGTCTTGTTGCACTGCATTCTCCCTATGATGGAAGGCCAGCTGAGCCCCAGATGGCTACCAGGACTCTGCCTTGCTCCACCCCACTATTGTGAGGGCTTTACTGAGTTGCTAATGGGAACAATCATGAAAGAATTGCTCAGCACATGTAAAGAAAACATAGACCAAAAAAATAGAGAATATAAAATTGATGGACACATTGAATGAACAATACAGGAAAAAATTAGAGTGTGTAAAACAGATTCAAACAGATATTCAGGAAATTAAGAATACCATTGAAGCTGGCAAAACTGACTGAATGAAACTGAAAATAAAGTTTCATTCATTCTCTCACTGTATTGCAGTGAGAGAACAAGAAAGGAAAGATCTATTAAAAATACCAAGGAATGGAAACATAACAATACAACAGCTGCAAGTTGATGAAAAAAAAAAAAACAGTATAAGACTAACAGGACTCAATGAAACAGTAGGAGTCAACACAAAAGACAAAGAAGACTATTTGCAGAAATAGTAACAGCAATTTTCCCAAGGATAGGAAAATAATATGAAACATTTAAGTGAGGCATATAGAGCCCTAAACAAAATAAATCTACACCCAGACACATAAAAATCTATAAATTCAGCAATATTACAGAATATTACAAACCAACAGCCAAGACAATTCTAAATGGAAAAAGCTTACAGCCTTCAGTTTAAAATCAGGAACAAGATAAGTATGTTAACTGTCACTGCTCCTATTCAATACAGCTCTGGAAACATTAGCCAGAGTAATAGACAAGAGAGAGAAATATTTACCCCAATGATTGGATAGTCATTTTTATTGCTTCTGTATAGAAGTAATCTTTCTTGTTTTAAATAAAAATTCCAAGCCAGGGATGGTGGTACATACCTGTAATCCTAACATTGAGGGAAGCTGAGGAAGGAGGATTACAAATTCAAGTCCCACCTGTGCAACTTAGCAAGACCCTGTCTATAATAGGTAGGGATGGAGAGAGAGAAAAGAAAAGGCTGGTGTTATAGCTCAGTAATAGAGTACCCCAGAGTTTGATTCTCTGCATCACAAAAATAATCACGTCCTCCTTAAGATAATTCTGAACACTTTTTGGAATTCATATCTGAAGTAGCTGAACTGGAATGCAGAAGTACTGAGCACTTCATTCAAGGTCTGACAAATCAAGCATGAGGGGTGTGGCTTAGTGGTAGAGGGTTTGCCAAGCATGTTGAAACCCTGGGTTTGCTCCTAGGCACTGAAAGAGGCTGTCATTCTAAATCTTTTTTTCTTCCACCATCCTTCAAGAAAATCCAAGAATTTTTTGTATTTATGCACAAAATATGTGTTATATTGCCAAGACTGACCTTGGCAGAAGAAATTAACTGTGTAGAGGTCATATGTGTTCTTCTGAAAGGTATCTTTGTGTTTAAGAAAAAAATTAATCCCTAGTACCACAAAAAAAAGAAAGAAAAGGGAAAAAAATTAGGGCCCAAGGAGATAGCTCAGTAGAATAAGCACTTGCCTGGCAAGCGTAGGGTCCTGAGTTCAATCCCTGGTACCACAAAAAAAAAAAAAAAATTATACTCTTAAGAAATGCATGGGACAAAATGTAGTATAAACACTTAAAAGTAAGAATCATTCTAATAGCCAAAAATTCAGCATTCACCTAGTAAACTTAAAATTTTGAATGTATATAAAAATAATTCCTTAAAGACACTTACATACCATAAACCTAAAGAAAAGTATCTAAAATTTGGAATTCTACTGTTGACTCTTGATAACAGTAGTAAATCTTCCATTATTAATAGTGAATAACATGTGCAATGAATCAAGGGAAGGTCTAAAACATTGTATCCACCCTCCATTGAGAGCAAATGACAGATAATGGGCACCAGCTGCTTTAGTTTGTTTCATGCATTTTCCAGCGTGCTGCTTTTCTTCCTAGTTCATCAAAGGAGACAGCAACCACACAGTGTGCTTGCCCAGCAGCCTTGCTGTAGGATAGATGTGTCCCCTCCCTGCTTACACTGTCCTGGCACCTGCCTTGCAGTCTAGAGAAACGTGTAGATGGGAATGCCCGGAGCAGAGGGCTCACTTCCATGCCTGCTTTTCCAAGATCAGAGTCATGTCCACTAATGGGGAATCATTTCATCAGAGTAATTATTTGGAAATCATTTTAGATTTGTGGAACTGTTATAAAGCAAGATCAGAGAGTTCCCATATATCTTTTCCCCATCTTTCCCTAAGAACTTCCATGATCATGGTACATTTATCAGAGCCAAGAAGCTAGCATTAATGAAACCACAGGCTTTAGGTAGACTTCCACTCTTGGTTTTTCAGTAATGACTTTTCTTGTTTCAGAACCCAATTTAGACCCCCACATTGCATTTGGGGCAATCATTTTTTAAAGCCAGACAGCATCAAGGTCTTCACTATATCTCCAAAGTTCAGCTGACTGTAGAGGCTTCATTGCAGTGAGGTTGGGTACCACAGACCAACTAAGCTTATTCCATCAGCAGGAAGGGAATATAAAATTTCCACTTGAATTTTTCACTTTTCCCTTAGTACATGGAGCTGACAGAAAAGGACCCTTTTTGATTCTACCCGAAACTTACAGCATTCTCTGGCAGTAACTTGAGTGTCTCCTTTTCTTTTCTGGCAGCCTCTATCTAATTTTTTTGTGTCTAAATTAGTTTAAAATGAGCAGGACTTTGTACACCAACATTATTAACAAGTGTCAGCACAGCTCTGAAAATAGTGCCTGGGGACCATTTGTGTTTCAGAATTCATAAAGGAGCACAGAACCAGCTCATCTTGTGAACTCCCACTGAGCACAAAAAAAAAGTTTCAAACCTGTGTGGTACTTTCTACTCCCTGCTCACCCTTGACAAGTTTCTTTGCTTGCTGCATGATTTGCTTGTCTGCTTTGTATAGCTAAAACTCTTGCATTGGGACATTTTTTTTTTTTTTTTTTTTGGATACCAAAAGTCCAGTGAGTAGTTAAGGAATATAGGCTCAAATGCAACAAAGCAGGCAGATGAAAGAAGGATGGCATGATTTATTGAAGGAAAAGTGAGATAGGGATTTGTCTTGAGGCCTCAAAAGACTGGAGACAAAAACTAGTCTTCAAGGCTGCTTTGTGTGTCACTGGGATCATTGAAAGTAACAGCGGTTTTTGAGAGGACAGCCTTGTGATAGGTAATGCTTCCATTTGTTCTGTGGAGTAGGTACATCTACATCATATGTAGCCCATGCCTCCCCCCTCTTACTGATCTCAAAACCGTCTGCCTCCAGTTTACTCTGTCATTTATTTTACTCTTGATTTATGTCTTGGGTTTCTCATGAAAGGAACTATGCGGTGTTTAACTTCTTGTGTCTGACTTACTTCACTTAACATGATGGGCTCAAGATCCATCTGTTTTCATACCAACACGTTTTTCCAGCTGTTCTTTATGGCTGAATATATCACATTTTCTTTATCCATATGTCTGCTGATGGGCATTTAGAGCATTTCCAGAGCTTAGCTATTTGGAATTGTGCTGCTGTAAACACAGATATGTGTGTATCACTATTGTATAATGATGTTAACTCTTTCAGGAATATACCCAGGAGACATCTAACTGGATCAAATGGAATTTCTATTTTTTAGGCCTTATCTTAATGTGAACAAGAGGGCTGGTACTTGACTATCTGTTCAGAGCACAATATTTTTATAGTGTTTCAAAAGACACTGTCATTTTCCAATTTAACACATCATGTTTGCTGTTACTTCTTAATCCAAGATTCCACATATATATTAAATAATGTCTCAAATTAAAAAGGAGAGAAATAAAAGAAAAAAGATTGGAAAAGATAAAATCATCATTATTAGCAGATGGCAGTAGAATCTACATAGAAGACTTCATAAACTCCAACAAAAGATTTCTACATTTAATAACTAAACCCAGTACCATAGCTGGATACAATATCAACAGTCAAAAATTCTGTACACAAACAACAACCTCACTGAGAGAGAAATTAGTGAAACCACACCTTTCACAATAGCATCTAAAAAAATGAGATCAGAGGAAGTTAACAAAGAAAATAAAAGATTTATACAGTGAAAGTTACACTGCTCTGAAATAAGACGCTGAAGAGGATTTAATAAAATGGAGAGATATTTCTTGCTCCTGGATAGGAAAACCGACATCATGAAAATGGCCATACACCCAAAATTGTTAAACAGTTTCAATGAAGCCCCAATTAAAATATTATTAGTATACTTCACAACTCTAGAGAAAACATTCCTAAAATTATTGGGAAACAGAGGACACCTCAAATAGAAAAAGCAATCATGAACCAGAAAGGAAAGCCAGGAGGCATTACAAGCCCAGACTTGAAATTTTACTACAAAGGTTGTGATAAAATCAACAAGGTACTGGAAAAAAACATACCCAAAGATTAATGACATGGATTAGAAGATGTAGACACAACCACAAGCATAGCCACCTTATCTTTGACAAAGGGGCCAAACATGTTCACTGGAAGAAAGATGGTGTCTTTAATAAGTGGTGCTGGAAAAACTGGCTTTTCACATAGCAAAGACTAAAATTTGCCAAATATGAAAAATTTTTTTATGCTTTACCTTTTTAGCTTTATTTGGGAGTACTTAAAAACATAATTTTGAATGATCAAGTCATTGATTTTGTTTCTAGCATTCATCTGCTATTTTAAAAAGTTTTGTTTTTCCTCTTTACAAAATACATGTTTGTACCAAAAATTAAACAGAAATAAATTAGTTTAGGTACAGCAGACACCTTTATAATATGGGTTTTCCTATATAAGAACATTCTTTTCCTGTTTATTAAAGCTTCCTCCAGTGGCCCTTGGTGGAGAACTACAATTTTCATCACATAGGTTCCATAAAACAATTATTTGTTCCTAGAATATCTACTGCTCTTGATGCTGCTGAGGAGAGATTTTCCCCCCAATACTTTCTAGTTGGTTGGTGGTACAAAATGTTATTTTTTAACTGGTGATATTCATTAAAAATTGAATAAAATGGGAAAAGATGTGTTTCCATGTGAAGACTTTGCCACATTCACTTCCCTCCCAGAGAATTCCTCCAAGGTGAATCTGATGATTCATGATCCATTTCAGCATTAATTTTCAGAGCTCCTACATCCCTCTCATTACTAAGATTTTCCTTCATTATGGATACTCTGATGCTGACCAAGTTGGAAGGTAAACCTGAAAGCTTTCCCACAGATATTACACACATGAGGTTTTTTCCAAGTGTGGACAGTCTGGTGTATAATACAGTCAGAACTAAAGCTGAAGCCTTTGCCACACTCTACACATCGGAAAGGTTTCTCCCCAGTGTGGCTTCTCTGATGCCGAATTAAATGGGCATTAACATGGAAGGCTTTTCCACACTCCTTACACTGAAAGGGTTTTTCTCCAGTATGAATTCTCTGGTGTACAATATAGTCAGAGCTACAGCTGAATGCCTTTTCACATTCCATACATTTGAAAGGTTTCTCTCCAGTATGTATTCGCTGATGTCTAGTTAGCTTGGCATTGATACTGAAAGCTTTGCCACATTCTTTGCACTGATAAGGCTTTTCTCCAGTATGGATTCGGTGATGATCAAGTAGGTTTCTTTTAGAAGTAAAGCATTTCCCACATTCATTACATTCAAATGGTTTCTTTCCAGTGTGAACTCTCTGATGTTGCATTAGTTTTGCATTGACATTGAAAGCCTTTCCACACTCATCACACTTGTAGGGCTTCTCCCCAGTATGGATCCTCAGATGCTGCCGAAGCTGAGAGTTACACCTGAAAGCCTTCCCACACTCATTACACCCATATGGTTTCTCACCAGTGTGGATTCTCTGGTGCTGGATTAATTTCCCTTTGACACTGAAGGCTTTTCCACATTCATTGCATCCATAGGGCTTCTCACCTGTGTGAATTCTTTGATGCTGAATGAGTTTTGCATTATTATTGAAGGCTTTTCTACACTCTTTACACTGATAGGGCTTCTCTCCAGTATGGATAATCTGATGCTGCCTAAGCTGAGAGCTGCACCTAAAGCCTTTCCCACACTCACTGCATACATAAGGTTTTTCTCCAGTGTGGATTCTCTGATGCTGTATTAATTTTGCATTAACATTGAAAGCTTTCCCACAGTCACTGCACTCATAAGGTTTCTCTCCAGTGTGAACTCTCTGGTGCGTATATGCAGAACTACAGCTAAACCCCATTCCACACTCCTGGCACTGATAGAGCTTCTCTCCTGTGTGGATCCTCTGGTGCCTACTAAGACTTCCATTAACACTAAAGGCCTTCCCACAAACTTTACACTGATAGGGCTTCTCCCCACTGTGGATTGTCTGATGTGTGAGATAATGGGAACTGTAACTGAAGCACTTCCCACATTCCACACATTTGAAGGGTTTTTCCCCACTATGAAACCTCTGATGCCAAATTAATTCTGTGATAACGTTGAAGGCTTTGCCACACTCCACACACTGATAAGGCTTCTCCCCAGTGTAGTTTTCTAGATACTGATTAGGTTGAGGGTCAAATCTAAAGATTTCTACTAAATCCTCACATTTCACAGGTCTTTCCACAGTATTAATTATTTCATGCTTAATCAGTTCTGTGTCAAAGCTAAAGGCTTTCATCAGTCCTATACAATCAGGGTACTGCTGTTCAGTGGAGATACTATGATGCTGAAACAAGTTTGGACTGTGACTAATGGAATACTCCTCCATGGAGTTTATTTCATCTTTTACTGCTCCCTTCATGTTGCTGCTGTTTTCCTTCTTCATCCTTCCTGCTGAGTGGACTTTCTGTAGTTGCTCTGGTATATAGGTTTCTGAAAAGTTTATTTCCAGGGGAAAAGCCCTTGGAAGTTCAAATGATGTGCTATCCTTTTCTTCACACACTTCCTTTGTCAAATTACTGTTTGTCTGCATATTAGTACCTACCTGAGGGCCTATTCCACTTCCAGTGGCCAGTGGCAATGGGTGCTCCAGCTCACCTCCTTGCTCCAGTTGTGAGATCACAGCAGGTTTGAGAAATGGAAATCCCAGTGAGGCCACATTCCCATAATTCTCCAGCATCACATCCTTGTACAAGGCTCTCTGTGCAGGCGACAGTGCATCCCATTCCGTCTGGCTGAAGTACACAGCCACATCTTCAAAGGTCACCAACTTCTGAAACAACAGGTTCCTGCTGCCCTAGGGCCAATTCTATGGGTCAGGCCCTGTGGCCAGGATGGGAGAAGCATGGCTGCCATCACCTCGTGTCCCTCTCAGAGACGGGCCAGAGCTCTACAGCCGGCTGCTCCCCAAATATGAAAATTTTTGAAACTAAATTTTCTTTAGTTTCACCAGACATGAAACTAAAGTAAAAATAGATAAAAATTTAAATATTAAAACATAAAACATTAAATCTACTGGAGGAAAATGTAGGTAGAAATCTTGAAGATGTATGTGTGCATACAGTTCATTAGCAAAAATCAAACTGGGTGGGAAATACTTCCAAGAATCACCACCTAGGATCTCACCTCTTAAAAGTTCTGCATGTCAAAAGAAATCACCAACAGAGTACAAAGAAAACCCACCAATTAGGAAAAATTGTAACCAATTATCCCTCAGACAAAGGACTTCTATCTAGAACATATAAAGAATTTTTAAAAATCAGACCCCCAAATTCAAAGTCCCAATCCATAAATGGACATCCGAGATGTATAGACCCTCTCAGATGAAGAAGAACAAATGGCAAACAACATCTCTTCTCATTCAAGAAATGCAAATGAAAATAACAATACAAAGAATGACTATCTCCAAGAAATCAACCAAGAACAAATGTTGGCAGGTTTGTGAGGAAATAAAGGAATGTTTCTCCACTGTTGGTGGGAGTGTAGACTGATACAACATAAATAACATATTTGTATGATTTGAAGTAATTATATAGTATACAAGTATGTATTGAGTACTTTTCAATCTTTTACCTGTCACAAATTTACTAATTCTAATGTAAACATGATGCTACAAAAATTTCTCATTTTTATCAAGCAGTTAAAGGCATTTCTGTTGCAAAAAGCCAACACTATAACAATTATTTCATAATAATGTCTATGGAAATCAATGTGGTGATTCCTAAAAATACTAGACTTAGAGGTCCCATTCAGCTCAGCTATTTGCCACTTGGTATTTTTATAAATGAACTGAAAACAATGAATCACAGAAAGGTAGGTGCACCTATGTATAAAGCAGCACAATTTGTCATAGGTAAATCTTGGAAATAACACAATGCTCGTCAAATAGGGAATGGATAAAAAAAAGATATAGCCGTTTTTACAGACTGGAGTATTACTCAGCTATAAAAAAGATAAGCTCAAAACTTTTAAAGGTAAATGGATGCATCTAGAGACCAAACTCATAGGTGAAATAAGTCAGTCACATGTGTAAACATCATGTTGTCTTGCTAGTGTAAGAACATGAAAGAGTAAAAGAATCTGAAAGGTCTGAAAGATAATGTGGAAGAGAAAGAATCTGTTCAAATGGAAAGAACAACTTGGATGAGGAAGGGGATAATAGAAAGAAGAGAAAAATATATTTATGTATATATATTGGATAGTTTGGATAATTGTACTGCTGATTTCTGCTGGTCTATGGAAAGAAATACTTAATGCTTAAATATTTTTTCTTTCATTTCTAATTCTTATAACTTTTCTGACCACTTTTTCATGTGTCTATCTGTTAATCTGAACAACTAATTTGAAGACAACAATATGCAGTATAACAACCATTGTTGAATTCCTATTATTTTGTTTATTTTGAAATTCTGTATTGTTATAATGTTTTTTTTACTATTTTTTACTCTTTAAAAAATTTGAAAAGGAGGGGAACATAGTTATATAGTTATATCCAATGATTAAGTAGTATGTTCTCAAACATTTTATTACATGGGTACTGAGTTTTATTGAAATAAATATAGAGAAAGAAGGCAGAAAGTTTCTGAATAGCAGAATAAAATGTAAATAACACATTAATATGATTTGAAGTGATTATACAGTATATATGTGTGTATCTAGTTCTTTTCAATATTTCCTCTATCATAAATTCACTCATTCCAATGTTAACATGATGATGCACACAGTGTCTCTTTTTTTAATCAAGCAATTGAAGGAATTTCTGTTGCAAAAGAGCCAAAAGTATAGCAAGTATTTTATGATAAAGTCTTAAAACTATTCCACTTCTATCATGCATGAAACTGTGCAAGAAGTTCCATACTGTCTTGTTATTTCTTTCAGAAGTTTATTTTAATGTTTTTATTTTTGCTATGGTGATTTGTATTAGTTTTAGAATGATTTACCTAGGGCAGTGACAATGAATCTTTTAGAGACCAAGTGCTCATACTGCAGCCCAAAACACCCAACATGGCCAATAACGTAAATGTGGATGTTTTAGTTAGGAAAAACTACTTGTATGGTAAGATCTTTTGCCTTAAAAGAAAAGCAAAATTCCATGTATGCCATAGGACAACCCCCACGAACCTAGGGGCAAATATGTGCTCCTGTTTCACACACTGAGTGAGTAGTGTATCAGTTATCAACCAAAGACACTTAAGAGGTGTATCTTCCACTTTCCTATTAGAGAAGTATAAATTCCAAAGCAAATGTTAACAACTTTTCATTAAGCAATCTTAAACATTTTTTTAAAAATGAACTTTTCTGATTGCTCAGATTTATACAAATTTCAATGACTTAAAAGATGCTTTTAGAAATCCTAATTAATTTTGATAGCATTTCCTTTCACTCAAAGCATTTTTTCTCTCTTTATTGTGTATTTTTAGGGAAGGGTCTACAGAGTGTTCAGGTCTCACTACTAGATTGGACTTGTAGTGATCTGACTGTTTACAGCTTCCCAAGAGATGGGATTATAGGTACAAACCACCATGCCCAATCTCAATTGCCATCTAAGCATGCCCCAGGGGCGGGTCCAGCATGGCAGGCCCAGGAATCAAACTCTTGGACCTTTAGCCTGCTTGTAAGTGCTTTAATACACTGGACTATTTGACTGGCCCTTTGTTCTTTAATTCTAAAGTATATATTTTCTGTTCTTAACAGTTTTGCTTGCTTATCCTTTAACCTATTTTTAAAATGTTTGCCATTGTCTCCTGATTTCCATATTTTCTAATGAGAAGTTCACAGCAGTTCATAGTAATTAAAATTTTTTTCTAATGTATAATCTAACATTTTCTCCTCTAGTGATTTTCTAGAGCTTCCTATTTCTTCATCAATTTGACTATCAGCAAAGATAATATAATTTCCATTGTTTTAGGAATTTCAGTATAATGGTGGTCAAATAAAAAAGCTACCTGATAAATTAAGTGACATAATAAAAATACTCTATACCTTGTTACTGTTTCAATATATTTTCCCTCATGCATTTAGTATTACTTAGTATAATTTTAAAATTTTGAGTGTGTACATTCCATGAAAAAATTTTAAATTTGTAAAGGATATTTAATATTTATCTACATGTTCACCATTTTAAATTCCCTGCACCCTTAAGTGTATACTATATTTCTGTGATATAAATTCTTTAATGTTTAGCGGCTTTTCCAATGTTTTAGTAGAGCTATTTTAATAATGGCAGACATTTATTGAAAAGAAGAAGTAAAATTATCCATATTATCATATGACACTATTGGCCACATAGAGAAAATCCAAAGGAATCTGTGAATTTTCTAGTTCCAGTAAATAGTTTAACAAGAAAGCAGAAAACAACATTGACAAATAAAAATCAATCATTTCTTTCTTCTAACAATTGGCTATTAGAAACCACAACTATATATTTTATAATAATGACATATACTTTCAAAAGAAAACTGAAAATCTTCAACTCTCCAAATACTATAAATTCAGCAAAACTAGTTGGTAGAGAAAAGCATTAAGTAGTCATTGATTTTTTTAGAAAGTATTATAGGGTAAAATCGTAATGTTCATGGGGTAGCTGCAACAAGTATGTTGTGTTGGGAGAAGCTAAAGCTGGAAATTGATCATGTGGGGGAGGCAGGATAAGCCCTCACTGCCTAGAGCTACCTCAGTCTTGAGAAAAACAACCTGCCTAGACATTATGGGCTATTAGTCAATAGACAGCATTGTGTCTTTTCACTTGCAAAAGTATAAATAAACACCCCTGCTGTTGCTCTGGGGGCCTTTGCCTATCAGGCTTGGTCAACCACCTGATCTCAGCAATTATCTCTTGTCTTTTTTTGGTATATTCTTACCACTTCCTCCCAGGGACTACTGAGAGACCAACTGGTTCCTATAGTGTTATAAAACATGTATTGCTTCATGTATGTGCATGTACTTGCATTATATCAGGATACAGTGACACATTTAATCAATTCTTGAAAGATTCCATATTTATAGGGTATATGTAAATCCTTTCAGATGTTGAAAAACAGAGACAGAATAAGGTAGGATGGAGGAGAGCAGAGCAGGAATATCTTTCTTTTGACACACTCAATGAAGTTGAGATTATCTTCTACACTTATGTATTGTTGTTAGAAAAATTTTTGAAACAAAGATTCCCTCAATATTTTTTTTCTCACAAAACAAAAAGCACGTTTTATAGTATTCTGAATATGGTTCTGTGTTTCAGAAATGGATATCATTTATTCATTTCTCACCAATATTTCTAGAAATCAATTTATATCACTTTACTACTTTCTGAACTTTAACTACCAGCATTCTTTTTCATTTGCTTTTTGAGTGTATGCCCTGGAGGCTTACCTAAAACCACTGAACATTATTTTGACTGGTATACTCACTGACAATATAGTAGAAGGGAACATGAACACTGACTGAAAGATAGTCTGGAGAGGAAGTCTTATAATTGGACAGGAATGAGACATATGAAGGAGTGAAAAACAAGGCCTGTATAAACATCAGCTTCCAAAATCTAGTCTTAATGAGAGCTGGTTTTGAAATGTGAGAACGTTAAGAATTTTCAAATGTTTTCACATTTTCTGTAAATTTGAATGCTGATAGGCAGTACTGCATAGCCCAAGATGTAGGTATTTCTTTCTCCTTTACTAAGGGTAGCTAGATCCTTAATTATGACCTTATCTAGTGAGAAAAAAAATCAAAATTTAAAAGCATAGTGGTGCATATACT